ATTGCTGGGTGGGTTAAGGGAAACATTGCTGTGGCCCCTTGTGGCATGTAGTAGTTTAGATAATTGAGTGTCCTTTTTCTTTTGTAGAGAAGCAAAGTGTGTGTTGTAAATCATAGAATCATAGAATAACAGAGTTGGAAGGGACCTCTGGAGGCCATCTAGTCCAACCCCCTGCCCAGAGCAGGACCAATCCCAACTAAATCATCCCAGCCAGGACTTTGTCAAGCCTGACCTTAAAAACTTCTAAGGAAGGGGATTCCACCACCTCCCTAGGTAACGCATTCCAGTGTTTCACCACCCTCCTAGTGAAAAAGTTTTTCCTAATATCCAACCTAAATCTCCCCCACTGCAACTTGAGACCATTACTCCTTGTCCTGTCCTCTTCCACCACTGAGAATAGTCTAAATCCATCCTCTTTGGATCCACCTTTCAGGTAGTTAAAAGCAGCTATCAAATCCCCCCTCATTCTTCTCTTCTGCAGACTAAACAATTCCAGTTCCCTCAGCCTCTCCTCATAAGTCATGTGTTCCAGACCCCTAATCATTTTTGTTGCCCTCTGCTTGACTTTTTCCAATTTTTCAACATCCTTCTTGTAGCATGGGGACCAAAACTGGACACAGTACTCCAGATGAGGCCTCACCAATGCCGAATAGAGGGGAATGATCACATCCCTTGATCTGCTGGCAATGCCACTACTTATACAGCCCAAAATACCATAAGCCTTCTTGGCAACAAGGGCACACTGTTGACTCATATCCAGCTTCTCGTCCACTGTCACCCCTAGGTCCTTCTCTGCAGAACTGATGCCTAGCCATTCGCTAGTCTGTAGCGGTGCATTGGATTCTTCCATCCTAATTGCAGGACTCTGGACTTGTTCTTGTAGAACCTCATCAGATTTCTTTTGGCCCAATCCTCCAATTTGTCTAGGTCCCTCTGTATCCTATCCCTACCCTCCAGCATATCTACCACTCCTCCCAGTTTAGTGTCATCCGCAAACTTGCTGAGGGTGCAATCCACACCATCCTCCAGATCACTAATGAAGACATTGAACAAAACCGGCCCCAGGACCGACCCTTGGGGCACTCCGCTAGATACCAGCTGCCAACTAGACATGGAGTCAATGATCACTACCCGTTGAGCCCGACAATCTAGCCAACTTTCTAGCCACCTTGTAGTGTATCCATCCAGCCCATACTTCTTTAACTTGCTGGCAAGAATACTGTGGGAGACCGTGTCAAAAGCTTTGCTAAAGTCAAGAAACAATACATCCACTGCTTTCCCTTCATCCACAGAACCAGTAATCTCATCATAGAAGGCAATTAGATTAGTCAGGCATGACTTTCCGTTGGTGAATCCATGCTGACTGTTCCTGATCACTTTCCTCTCATCTAAGTGCTTCAGAATTGATTCCTTGAGGACATGCTCCATGATTTTTCCGGGGACTGAGGTGAGGCTGACCGGCCTGTAGTTCCCAGGATCCTCCTTCTTCCCTTTTTTAAAGATTGGCACTACATTAGCCTTTTTCCAGTCTTCCGGTACTTCCCCAGATCACCATGAGTTTTCAAAGATAATGGCCAATGGCTCTGCAATCACATCCTCCAACTCCTTTAGCACTCTTGGATGCAACACATCCGGCCCCATGGACTTGTGCACATGCAGTTTTTCTAAATAGTCCCGAGCCACTTCTTCCTTCACAGAGGGCTGGCCACCTCCTCCCCATGCTGTGCTGCCCAATGCAGTAGTCTGGGAGCTGACCTTGTTCGTGAAGACAGAGGCAAAAAAAGCATTGAGTACATTAGCTTTTTCCACATCCTCCGTCACTAGGTTGCCTCCCTCATTGAGTAAGGGGCCCACACTTTCCTTGGCTTTCTTCTTATTGCCAACGTACCTGAAGAAACCCTTCTTGTTACTCTTAACATCCCTCGCTAGCTGCAACTCCAGGTGTGATTTAGCCTTCCTGATTTCATTCCTACATGCCCGAGCAATATTTATATACTCATCCCTGGTCATTTGTCCAATCTTCCACTTTTTGTAAGCCTCTTTTTTGTGTTTAAGATCAGCAAGGATTTCACTGTTAAGCCAAGCTGGTCGCCTGCCATATTTACTATTCTTTCTACACATCGGGATGGTTTGTCCTTGTAAATGGCTTGTCTAGTTTTAGTAAAGTCCAGCCACAAGGAAGTTTGTGTGGAAGGTTGTTTTTTTATGAGAATATCCAGTTTTGAGAGCTCATTCTTAATCTTTCCCTGTTTGCTGTAGAGGATGTTGATCAGGTGGTTCCCCAGTTTCTTTGAGAGCGTGTGGCACAAGCTGTCAGCATAGTCTGTGTGGTATGTAGATTGTAATGGATTTTTTACCTTCAGTCCTTTTGGTATGATGTCCATCTGTTTGCATTTGGAAAGGAAGATGATGTCTGTCTGTATCTGTACGAGTTTTTTCATGATAGATTTCCACTCCATACGGCTAAATGCAGTGCCTTGCATCATGACAAAATAAGCTCTCCAAGGAGAAGGACTGGCATACCTGGTGCTGAACTAGGGCTAGGGGGCATGGAAATGCCAGGTGACAAGCCTAAGCAGGCAGAACACCTCAGCCTGGAAACTCTTTGGGGTTCTGCCTAGAGTGGCAGGGCCCCCCCGCAGTTAGCAGGGAAGGCCCTGGGAGGTGCCCATGCATGTGCATCGGTGATGGCCTCACTACGAGCCCTGCGCAGCCGGCCCAGCTCTGGGGAGGGAGCCGCCAGCCAGCCTGGTTCGCACATCAGCCACATGGTGAAAGGGTCAAGGCCAGTCACTGGGAGCAGGCAGCGCAGGCTGGGAATGTCCTTGCTGGGCCCCTCAGTGTTCGGCCAGCCTCTTGGCTGTGGGACGTCAGGGTGGCTCCGCCAACGTGTCCAGAGCTATGGAAGGAGGAGTGGGCTTGGCTCCTCAGAGCCTGACAGGGGGCTTGCTGGTGTCCTCCCCACCCCACCTTGCCCAGCCTCTCCCATGCCCCCCTTAACTCCCATCTCACCCGGCTTGGCTTTCCCAGTGCCCTCCAACTCTCATTCCACCCAGCTTCCCCTGTCCCCCTCCAACCCTCGCCCCCTCCACTCTCTCCAGTCCCCCCTCTCAGCCCCCACCCTGCCCGGCCTCCTTCTTTGCCCCCCAACCTCCATCCCACCCAGTCTCCCCAGCAGCCCCTCCCTCCCACCCCCCACCCCACCCAGACTTCTTAGTGTCTCCCAACCTTCACCCCACATGGCCTCCACAGTGCCCCCTGTCCTCCCCAACCCCCACTATACCTAGCTTTTCCAGTGCCTCCCAAGCCCCAACCCACCTGGCCTCCCTGTCCCCTATTCCCTCCCAGATCCCTTCCCCACCCAACCTCCCCTCTGCTCCCCAACCTCACCTCCTGGCCTCCATGTGACAAAGTGGGAATTTTCTGTAATATTTTTTCCAATGCCAATGAGTGCCTTAGTTTCCCCCAATACTTTACAGTGCTACACAGTGGCTCCAGGACGGTTAACTCTGCTCCTGGGGCAGCGCAGGAGAGGTTGGAGGGGGTGTCACCTCGCTGCCTGGGTCATTAGAGGACTGGCTGAAACTGACCCGCATCAATGGAGGATCTGGAAAGCCAACTGGAGACCCTAGCACGGAACAGCTGACTGGGCCCTGAAGAGCAGGCAGGTCTCTGCCCAGGAGTCTGGCTCAGCTGGACTCGCTGGGCAGAGCTCAGGGCGTGAAGCAGCAAGGCTGGAGCCCAGCAGGGCCAGATAAACCTTTTGTGGGCCTGGCGCCAAACATATTTGTGGGCCCCCATGGAGGCAATTGAGCATGGGACGGGGAGGTCAGTTCCGAGAGCGAGGGGCCAGCCAGAGGCAATGGGGCATGGCATGGCAGGGCTGGCCCCGCTCGGCCCAGCCCAGTGCAAGGGCACTATTTACAAACTGGCAGTTGCCAGACACACACTGGCCCGCCCAGCCCTGTGCTGCCAGCATGCCCCTTCCCCTCAGGGGTGGGCCCATGCCACACCACACAGCCCCTCCCACCCGAACACCAGACCAGCCCGCTGATTCCCTATGGCCAGAGCCCCCCTAAACCCACTATGCACAGTGCCCCCCCCAGACCCTGACACAAATGCACAATCCCCTGCACAACACCACTCCTGCCCAGCGCCCCCATGCCCACAGCCCCACCACAACTACCAAGCACCCCACACAGAACCCCCTCCCTAGTGCCCCAACACACGCAGATCTTCCCCGCCCCTCACAGCCAAGCACCTCGCCCCCTCCAGACCCTCCAGAGACCCACTCCCCCATGCCCTGCCTCCTGGCCGCACTCACTAGCCCTGCTGGGAGGCGACTGTGTCTGCTGGGCTGAGCCATCAGCGCAGCCAGGGCTGGTCCCAGGGCCGGGAATCGCTCTGGCTGCTCCAGAGTGGCTTGATCAGCCAGGCCAGGGCCTGCCCGGCTGGACTCCCTCAGGATCCACTTGCCTGGAAGGGCCCAGCCAAGCCCCCTGCACTGTCCCCCCTGCAACTGGATGAGACTGGCCAGGCTCAGGTGGGGATGGGAAGCAGAGACTGCCCAGAGCCAGAGGTGCACTTGGGTCCAACCAGGGAGCAGAGAGGAGCTGGCAGGTGGGGCCAGGGGGTGGAGAGGAGCAAGTGATGAGCGGGGAGAGCCAGGGGGCTGGTGGGGTCTTGGGGCACCGTGCAATCAGAGCAGGCCGGGGCCCCTTCTGACCATGGGGCCGGCTCCATGGAGCCACTGGCGCCATTGTAAACCCCAGTACTGGAGCCCAGGGTCTCACTCCAGGAGGTGGTAAGGCCGTGTGGCCTCCCCTTGCAGAAGAGTGGGGCCCCTGGGGGGTCTGGCTCACTGAAAAAAGTGGATCCTCCAAGGGACTGTTTAAAAGCTGGGGGTTAGCACTGATCCTGTGGCTCTGTGACACCTCCCCACCCCCACCCCACCTGGCCTCCCTCATACCCCTGATCCCCCCATTCCCATTCTCACCTGACCTCCCCAGCCTGCCCCGCTCCAGGCCCTGCATCCCCCCTGCGCGGGGTAACACTCGTGGGCAGGTCAAAAGTCTCTGGGGATTTTATTCTTGTGCTCTGGCTGTGGGGGCCCCCTAGGAGCAGAGCAGCTGGCAGGCCCCCCCCAGGCTGCTGCGGGGGTGCATGCGGCGGCGGCGCAGGCGCTGCACGCTGGCATCTACGTGGAAGCCCGTCTGCTTGTCGCGGATGGAGGCACGCAGGTGCCGCTGGGTGGCCTGCATCTGCTGCACATTGGCCGCCGCCTTCTGCAGGGAACGCTCCAGCAGCACGCTGCCCTGCGGGAGGGACAGGTAGACAGGGAACAGCGTCACCTCCCTGCAGCCGGCTGAGGTACTCCCGAATCCCACCTAACTACACCTCACCCCCAGCAGCCAGGCAAAGTCACCCTTCCTCCAGAAACACCATCGCCTCCCTGTAGCAGGGTGAGGTACTCCTGCCAAGCAACGCTGTCACCCCTACAGCCATCAGAGCCAGGCAAGGTTCCCACACTCAGCAACACCATCACCCCCCTATGGCTGGGGAAGGTATCTCTGCCAACCAGTGCTGTCACTCCTACAGCCATCGCAGCCAGGCAAGGTATCCCTACTCAGCAACACCATCATCCCCTACAGCCAGGCAAGATATCCCCATCCAGTAACCCTCATATAGCTGGGCAAGGTTCCTCCAACTAGCAGCACCATCACCCCTGAAAGCCCCGCACAGAAAGACCATCACCCCCATAGCCATCCCAGCCATGCAAGGTACCCCCCATCCAGCAAAACCTTCACCCTCATACAACTGGGCAAAGTACCCCTGCTCAGAAAGACCATTACCCCCTATAGCCATCTCAGCCATGCAAAGTACCCCCTCCAGCAACACTGTCACCACACTACAGACACCACAACCGGGCAAGGTACCCCCAGATGGGCAACACCACTGCTCCCTACAGCCATACCAGTGGGTGAGACCCCAGGAACTTACCTGGGTGAGGATCTGGGCCTCAGGCAGTTGGGTGCCCACATGGTGCTGGTACACCCGCACCAGGGGCCGGTTCAGCTTCTCCCGCGCCTCCAGGTACTGGCTGGACTCAGGGCCCTAGAACAATGTAGCAGGGGTCAGAGCAGGGCATCCTCACCTGGGGGAGCCCCCTCCACCCCCAGCCAGTTTCTCCTTCCCATGTCCATCCCTCGGGTGACCCCAGCCAGTCTGCCCTTCCCCTGCCAATCCCCCCAGACAGTCCCTTCTTCCTCTGCCCATCCCCCAAGTGCTCCCAGCCAGTCCCTTTTTCCCCTGCCCATTCTCCAGGTGCCCCCAGCCGGTCCCTTCTTCTCTTCCTGCCCCCCAGCAAAGTGTCACTCCCTGCCTGCCCCCAGCTGGTCCCTCCATCCGATGAAGTGAGCTGTAGCTCACGAAAGCTTATGCTCAAATAAATTGGTTAGTCTCTAAGGTGCCACAAGTACTCCTTTTCTTTTTGCGAATACAGACTAACACGGCTGTTACTCTGAAACCTCCTTCCCCCGTAAGGATAAGGCCTTTGTCTGTAGCCATATTGCAAGTCCTAAAGCCTAAGGCCTGCCTCTGCAGCCAGATTAAAAGAGCAGCAGCCATTAGCTGAGAAGCAGGAAATCACATCCTCACATTCCATCTAAATTACACTAAAACAATGTAGTATCAGGCTGTTAAGGAGACGCCATCCTAATGCCACCCACTATCACCAGATAAAGAAACAAATCTTAAGGTTGTTAAAGAAAACTTAGTTTTATAGCATTGTGTCTGTCAAGAAATCACTTATCAATTGTTGTGGTTGTGAAATCCTCATTTCTTTATTGTTTTGTCATTGTAAGCACTGTCAGGATGAGCTCCACCCTGACATCTGGTGGTGAGGTGTGGCAAGTTGTGGAAAAGAACTTCAGGGGCCGATCTCATTTGCATAGGCACACCCACCCCGCCTAGAATGAGGCCATAGCTGCCCAGATGGTCACTTTGGCTGCTGTGGGATCCCCAGTGTCTCTGTTATTGGGGCAGGAAGAATAAATTGTTATTACGCTGATTATGGGAACTGTGCTTGGAACTGTACTTGGCCTTTTGTTATGATGGAGGGAGTCACCATCAACTAAGTAGCACTCGCTAGGCAATGGTCATGGGTTTTAAAACTGTGTGACTAGAGAGAGGTTGGGGATAAGTGTTAATACTTGGTGGTATGGGCCCCTTGGTGAGGGCCTTACATGCTAATTGCACTTCCTCTTCTCTCTACTGTGGAATATCAGAGCTAATTTTGATTCTATTAGGAGTCTAGTTACAGGCTGCTGAGCTCACTTTGGACAGCACTGGGGCTCCCCTACTACAAGCTGAAATCACTGAGTGTTGTGTTAAGTAGTGGGGGAGCCTGAAGATATATTGTGGAGAAGTTTGTGGGATGGCTGGAGTGCCTTGTGGACAGGTGGAGCAGTGTGTAGGATGGTGGGAGCTGCTGGTGGGCTGTGGAGCAGTTTGTGGGGCGGTGGGAACTGCTTGTGGGCTGCAGAGCAGAGCTGAGCGAAGGAGTTTGTGGGGCGGCTGGCAGAGCGGAGGCCTATGGAGCTGTGGGGCGGTCAGCTTCAGATCATGTAAGGTGCCTCTTACCCCCATCCCATCTCCGCCCAGGTTGGGAGGTAAAGCTCCACAGATAAACTTTTGAACTCTGGGGCTGCCCTGACCAGGGACAGAGACTTTTGGGTCATTGGACTTTTGGGACTTTGGGTGATTTGGGGTTGCCGGACTCAAGAACCAAAGGGAAAGGGGTATGCCCCAATTTGCTTGGGGTGGGTTTTTTGCTCGATGGGTTGTGTTATGAATCCTGTTGGGGTGGTGTTTCCCCAACATAATGCCACATTGTTTCTCTCTGTTATTAAAAGGCTTTTTGCTGCACTCAGACTTGCGAGAGGGGAAGTATTGCCTCTTGGAGGCGCCCAGCAGGGGTGGTATATATTTGTCCCAGGTCACTGGGTGGGGGCTCGAGACGGTTTGCATTGTGTTATTGGAATGGATCCCCTAGATATTGAACCCGGCCCTTGTTGCTGCCAACTCTGACGGGCAGAAGGGTTACATTTTTGGGGGCTCGTCCGTTACATCATTATGGTCCCCACTTCCCTGTTGTTTGTCTGTATGATCTCTGTCTGGTTCTTTGATTGTTTCTGTTTGTTACATAATTAATTTTGCTAGGTGTAAATTAATTACGGTGGTAGGATTGGTTAAAAATGTTGTTACAGTGTGGTAGCATTGGTTAGTGTCATGATTGGTTAAGGTACAGCTAAGCAGGCCTCAAGTTTCACCATATAAACTGGGGACCAAAAGGAAGTTCTTTGGGAACCAACTCCAGGACACAACCCCAAGAACAGAGCTGCCAGAACTCAACACCCTGCCAATGACACTGTGCAGAAACTGGAGTTCCCGAGATGACCTGATCCTGACTGGCCATCAAGAAAAGTCCATCTGTCTCTTTAGGAGTAGTGAGCATTGTATGTGTAGCGTGTGCATTCTGGTTTTTGGTGATGGTTAATAAATAGAGGTTATGTAGGATATTGCTGTATAAGGCTCTTTCACTGGTAAAAGATCCCATAAACCCCTCAAAAGATTAAGCCCTGACTCTACAGGGAAAGGGTGTTTGCCCAGAGCCCATGGAGGGGTAAAGTTAGGTGCCTTTTGCCTGGAGCCCTAGGAAGTGGGAAAGGGTGGGGGTACCTAAATTAAGAGGGTTACGCCTTGAGCCCTAGGAACTGGGTAAAGGTGGGATGTCCTAGAGTGTGTGAGTAACAGAGAATTTTAGTGGGTAACACCCCTGCCCGCCCCCCCAGCAAAGTTTCCCCACACACACCCCAGCTCCCCTGCTCTCTCAGCACAGGGTCACCTCCCCCAACCCCCTCCGCACCCACTCACCATGGTCATTCCCTGGGTGATGCCCAGCTCCCCGTGGAAGCGCTGGCAACGGTTCAGGGTGCTGCGCATGCCCCCCAGTGCCATGTAGAGACGCTCCTGGCCGGGGAGGGAGCACAGGGTGAGGTGTGGGGGTCACGCTGGGTCCCCGCAGGGACAGGTCACCCCAACCCCCAGGTTCAGGGACCACACCAGAGACCTTCCCCCTTGCCCGTAGCTGGGGCCTGAGCCCCCGCTTGGCCTCCCAATGGGGGTGGGGCACAATCAGTCCTTTAGTGTGCCATCCCCTGCCACAGCAGTGTGGTTCTGGGCCTGTGGGTCTGATATAGAGATGGAGGCATGAGGGCAGCCTGGGGCAGGGGCTGTGGGGCTGGTATAGAGCTGGGGGGATGGGGGAGCATGGGGCAGGGGCTGTGGGGCTGATATGGGGTTGGGGGAGTTTGGGGCAGGGGCTGCAGGGCTGTTATTGAGCTGGAGGGATGGGGGAGTGTGGTGCATGGGCTGTGGGGCTGGTACAGAGCTGGGGGGATGGGGGAGCATGGGGCTAGTAAGGAGCTTGGGGGAGTGTGGGGCAGTGCAGTGGGTCTGATAAGGAGCTTGGGGTGATGGGGAGCATGGGGTAGGGGCTGTGGGTCTGGTATGGGGATGGGGGAGTGTGGGGAAGGGCTGTGGGGCTAATATAGAGCTGAGGGGATGGGGCAGTGTGGGGCAGGGTCTGTGGGTCTGGTATAGAGCTGGGGGGAGTGTGGGTCAGAGGCTGTGGGTCTGGTATAGAGCTGGGGCATGGGGGAGTGTGGGGTAGGGGCTGTTGGTCTGGTATGGTGCTGGGGGGATGGGGGAGTGTGCGGCAGGGGCTAGTATAGGAATGATGTGCCAAAGTGGGACTGTTCTTAATGTTTTCTCTGAATACTGTGTGGATGCCTCAGTTTCCCCTATGCATTTATTAAGGATCTAGGTGGTGAGATAAGGGTGTGTGATTGTTGCAGAACCCTAGAGGGGCAGTGTGATGCTGTCTGCACAGGGAATGGCCGACACCCTGTCTCCTGGCAACTGATGGCCTGGGCCTCTCCTCTGCAAGGTGCCAACTGAAGGTGTTGGAGATCAGGTGGCCTCCTTGCCCAGAAAAGGCACAAAGGCCAGAGGAGGGGCTGGAGGGAGTTTCAGTTTGGAGCTGGCTAGGGAATTGGGGTAAGCCCAGAACCTGGGTCTGGGCTCCCAACCCCCCAAGATGGACCTGACTGAGGGGTCCTGTTTTCTGTACCTACAAACTCTGTTTTAGACTGTGTTCCTGTCATCTAATAAACCTTCTGATTTCATGGCTGGCTGAGAGTCATGGTGAATTGCAGGAAGTGGGTCTGCGGGGCCCTGACTACCCCACACTCTATAACAACTGGTGGCAGTGGTGAGATGTACTGCACCTAGTGGATGGCGCTTCCTGCAGTAAGTGACTGGGGAGCTTCAAAAGGAAGGGGGATTAACGAGGACCAGGTGTGCTGAAGGCTCAGAGAGGAGCAGTTCCGGGAGGCGAAGGAGCTACGCTTAACCCCTAAGAGTGTGTGACCAGCGAGAAGGACTGTTGCAGTAACGGGGTTCCCCGGGACTGCGGTGAGCGGTTCCAGGGGTGGAGGAATCATAGAATCATAGAATATCAGGGTTGGAAGGGACCTCAGGAGGTCATCTAGTCCAACCCCCTGCTCAAAGCAGGACCAATCCCCAGTTAAATCATCCCAGCCAGGGCTTTGTCAAGCCTGATCTTAAAAATTTCTAAGGAAGGAGATTCTACCACCTCCCTAGGTAACGCATTCCAGTGTTTCACCACCCTCCTAGTGAAAAAGTTTTTCCTAATATCCAACCTAAACCTCCCCCACTGCAACTTGAGACCCTGCCTATGGTCCAGATCCCTGTGCAGACACAGGAGGGGTCAGGCTGGCTGGTAGCTGGGATTCTCAGCTGTGAGGTCCTGTTGTAGGATGCCTGTGTCTATTTGGGACAGGATCCAGACCCTGGTCCTGTAACGGCCAAGGATTTGAATTTGAATCCACGGAACCAATCAACTGAGACTGAAATTGTCAGTGAAAATCAAATGACCTGGCTGGCAGGGGAGAGGAGCTGCTAGGCTCGGGATACCTGCCTGCCTGTAACCAGAGCCCTGGGACTGAGTGGAACGGAGAGATGCTCCCCGCCCCCCTGCACACTGGAGAGGGGTCTCACGATGGCTCTGATGCTATGACCAAAGCAGCGAGCTCGCTGCCTAATCCTACTGGGACAGCAACGGCAGCGCTGAGCATGGTGGGAACTGAGACCCCAGCTGAGTGGGTGGACACACAGGCAGGGCAGGTCAGCTGCCAACCAGGTTTGCCTGGTCCAGACGTGCTGCTGGGACAGGGCTCAACGGGGCTGTGACCCCAGGCCCAGCCAGCGAGAGGGAACAGGTCCCCATCCCTTCCCCAAGAGCTGAATTCCAGACCGAGCTGCAGGATGCCTCCTTGGAGAAGCTGAGGGAACTTGCTGGCCACAGCACTGCAAACCCCCTTGGGGAAGGCTGCAGGGAAAGATTGCTGTGGGAGAAGGATTCCTGTACCGGGAATGGGCTCCCCAAGGGGAAGTAGAACTCTGGGGAATCAGGAGGCAGCTGGTGGTGCCAGCTTTATCAAGCTGCATCCTGTGGAAAGGAGCGACTCTGGAAGGGTATGCAGTGCTACTCTGCCAGCATCTATAATACTAACTGTGAATTTCGTAAGATCTTTCCACCTGCAAGATTTAAATGCATGGCAAGGAGTTGGCCCACAATGTCCCTCTCTCAGGACACCCGGGGATCCAGTGCCCCAGGCAGCAGCGGTGGCAGAACTTTTTCTGGCCCCGAGTCTGTGAGGCAGCCCAGCAGTTCTGCAGGTCCTGCGACCCTTGCCAGAGCGTGGGGAAGGCCCGGCTCCCTTGAGACCCCTGCCTATCATAGAGGAACCTTTCCGGAACATAGTGGAGCCCCTCAGCAAGGCAACCCAGTCGGGAAGAAATACATCCTGGTGGTGATGGATTTCGCCACCCACTACCCAGAGGCAGTGGCTCTGTCCTCCACCGAGGCAGACACTGTGGCAGATGCACTGCTGACCATCTTCAGCAGAGCAGGGGTCCCCAGCAAGGTCCTTACAGACCAGGGGTCCAATTTCATGTCAGCCCTGCTCCAGGGCTTGTGGGAGAAATGTGGGGTCTAGTCTTCCTGGGTCTCTGCATATCACCCTCAGTCCAATGGGCTGGTGGAGAGATTTTATGGACCCTGAGGATGATGCTGAGGACTTTTATGAATCAGCATCTGCAGAATTGAGACAGACCACTGGGAACAAACCATCCCGATGTGTAGAAAGAATAGTAAATATGACAGGCGACCAGCTTGGCTTAACAGTGAAATCCTTGCTAATCTTAAACACAAAAAAGAAGCTTACAAGAAGTGGAAGATTGGACAAATGACCAGGGAAGAGTATAAAAATATTGCTTGGGCATGCAGTAGTGAAATCAGGAAGGCCAATCCACACTTGGAGTTGCAGCTAGCAAGAGATGTTAAGAGTAACAAGAAGGGTTTCTACAGGTACGTTAGCAACAAGAAGAAGGTCAGGGAAAGTGTGGGCCCTTTACTGAATGGGGGAGGCAACGTAGTGACAGAAGATGTGGAAAAAGCTAATGTACTCAATGCTTTTTTCGCATCTGTCTTCACAAACAAGGTCAGCTCCCAGACTACTGCACTGGGCAGCACAGCATGGGGAGGAGGTAACCAGCCCTCTGTGGAGAAAGAAGTGGTTCAGGACTATTTAGAAAAGCTGGACGAGAACAAGTCCATGACGCCAGATGCACTGCATCCAAGAGTGCTAAAGCAGTTGGCAGATGTGATTGCAGAGCCATTGGCCATTATCTTTGAAAACTCATGGAGATTGGGGGAGGTCCCAGATGACTGGAAAAAGGCTAATGTAGTGCCCATCTTTAAAAAAGGGAAGGAGGAAGATCCGGGGAACTACAGGCCAGTCAGCCTCACCTCAGTCCCTGGAAAAATCATGGAGCAGGTCGTCAGGGAATCAATTCTGAAGCACTTTGAGAAGCGGAAAGTGATCAGGAACAGACAGCATAGATTCACCAAGGGCAAGTCATGCCTGACTAATCTAATTGCCTTCTATGATGAGATAACTGGCTCTGTGGACGAGGGGAAAGCAGTGGATGTGATATATCTTGACTTTAGCAAAGCTTTTGATACGGTCTCCCACAGTATTCTTGCCAGCAAGTTAAAGAAGTATGGGCTGGATGAATGGACTATAAGGTGGATAGAAAGCTGGCTAGATTGTCGGGCTCAGCGGGTAGTGATCAATGGCTCCATGTCTAGTTGGCAGCTGATATCAAACGGAGTGCCCCAAGGGTCGGTCCTGGGGCTGGTTTTGTTCAATATCTTAGTTAATTATCTGGAGGATGGCGTGAACTGCACTCTTAGCAAGTTTGCAGATGACACTAAACTGGGAGGAGTGGTAGATATGCTGGAGGGTAAGGATAGGATACAGAGGGACCTAGACAAATTAGAGGATTGGGCCAAAATAAATCTGATGAGGTTCAACAAGGACAAGTGCAGAGTCCTGCACTTAGGACGGAAGAATCCCATGCACCGCTACAGACTAGGGACCGAGTAGCTAGGCAGCAGTTCTGCAGAAAAGGACCTAGGGGTTACACTGGACGAGAAGCTGGATATGAGTCAACAGTGTGCCCTTGTTGCCAAGAAGGCTAATGGTATTTTGGGCTGTATAAGTAGTGGCATTGCCAGCAGATCAAGGGATGTGATCATTCCCCTCTATTCGGCATTGGTGAGGCCTCATCTGGAGTACTGTGTCCAGTTTTGGTCCCCATGCTACAAGAAGGATGTTGAAAAATTGGAAAAAGTCAAGCAGAGGGCAACAAAAATGATTAGGGGGCTGGAGCACATGACTTATGAGGAGAGGCTGAGGGGACTGGGATTATTTAGTCTGCAGAAGAGAAGAATGAGGGGAGATTTGATAGCTGGTTTCAACTACCTGAAAGGGGGTTCCAAAGAGGATGGATCTAGACTGTTCTCAGTGGTACCGGTTGATAGAACAAGGAGCAATGGTCTCAAGTTACAGTGTGGGAGGTTTAGGTTAGATATTAGGAAAAACTTTTTCACTAGGAGGGTGGTGAAGCACTGGAATGCATTACCTAGAGAGATGGTGGAATCTCCTTCCTTAGAGGTTTTTAAGGTCAGGCTTGACAAAGCCCTGGCTGGGATGATTTAGTTGGGGATTAGGTCCTGCTTTGAGCAGGGGGTTGGACTAAAGGACCTCCTGAGCTCCCTTCCAACCCTGATATTCTATGAAGTACCTGCCCCACCTGAAGTACAGGGAATTGCCCCAGGAATCCAAAGCATTCTTCCCTTTCGCGCTGCTGTATGGGAGGAGAGTGAGGGGACCCCTGGACCTGGTACGGGACGGTTGGGAGGAGAAGCGGGAAGACCCCCTGGCGGATCTCTTCCCTGAGATGGGAGCCAATCCTCCCATCAGGTGTCCCCCATTCAGAGTCACTTGGCAAACAGCCCTGAACCTGGAAAGAGAGGTCAAGGTCACGCTGGCTTTAGAGCGTGATCCAGCCGTTCAACAGCCCATGGGCCTCACCTGTGGGGCTGGTCCCCAAGAAAGACGGGTCTATCCGATTCTTTGGGGACTATCAGAAGCTTAATGCCATCAATGTGTCCAATGCCTACCCCATGCCTAGGCCTCGTGAGATTCTAGACAAGCTGGCAGGGGGCTCATTACCTCACTACTATGGATCTCACCAAGGGCAACTGGCAGGTGCCTTCGGACCCAGATACCAGGTTGAAATCTGCCTTCACCACCCCTTTGGGGCTCTGAGTTCCTGGTCCTGCCTTTTGACCTCAAGGGGGCATCGGCCACCTCCCAGCGCCGGGTGAATCAGTTACTGAGGGGGATGGAGAACTTGGCCCTGGCATACATTGATGATATCTGTGTCTTTAGCCAGACCTGAGATTAATACATGTCCCAGGTGAATAGGGTGCTGGGCTGCCCCAAGGAGGCAGGACTGACAGTAAAAGCTGAAAAGTTTAAGGTGGGGATGGCAGAGGTATCGTACCTGGGCCACAAGGTGGGGAGCAGCTGCCCAAGCCCAGAGCCGGCCAAGGTGGAGACAATCAGAGATTGGCCCATTCTCCAGACCAAGAAACAGGTCCAGGCCTTTATCAGGATGGCGGGGTACTACCGGAGGTTTGTACCACACTTTAGCTCCCTAGCTGCCCCCATCACTGATCTATGTGAGAAGGGTAAGCCAGACGAGGTGGTCTGGACTGAGCAGCGCCAGAGGGCTCTCTGTGTGCTGAAGGAGGATCTAATCCAGGGCCCAGTAAATCTGGTAAACCCAGACTTTGCCAAGCCCTTTACAGTGTTCACTGATGCCTCAGACTCAGGGCTGGGCACAATGCTGATGCAAGCTGTTGCTAAGGGGGAGAGACACCCCATCAGGTACCTGAGCAAGAAGCTGCTGTCCCGGGAGCAGAACTATGCAGTCATAGAGAAGAAATGCCTGGCCATGGTGCAGGCCCTTAAAAAGCTGCAGCCGTATCTATTTGGGCAGCGCTTTACTGTGTATACTGACCACTCTTCCCTGACGTGGCAGAGCTGGGGGGATGTGGGAGTGTGGGGCAGGGGCTGTGGGTCTGGTATAGTGCTGGGGGAGTGTGGGGAGTGTGTGGCAAGGGCTGTGGGGTTAGTAAGGAGCTTGGAGTGATGGGAGTAGCCTGGGGCAGGGGCTGTGGGGTTGGTATAGAGCTGGGGGGCTGTGGGAGGCTGGGGGACTGGTATAGGGATGGGGGGAGTGTGGGGCATGGGCTGTGGGTCTGGAGCTAGGGTGATCGGGGTAGCCTGAGGCAGGGGCTGTGGGGCTTGTATAGAGCTGGGGGGATGGGGGAATGAGGGGCAGGGGCTGTGGGCCTGGTATACAGCTGGGGGGAAGTGTGGGGCTGGGGCTGTGAGTCTGGTATGGATCTGGGGTGATTGGGGTAGCCTGAGGCAGGGGTTGTGGGTCTGGTGTAGAGCTGGGGGTGTGGGGGGAGTGTGGGGCAGGGGCTGTGGGTCTGGTATAGTGCTGGGGAGATGGGGGGAGTGTGTGGCAAGGGATGTGGGGTTAGTAAGGAGCTTGGGATGATGAGGGTAGTCTGGGTCAGGGGCTGTGTGGCTGGTATAGAGGTGGGGGATTGGGGGGAGCATGGTGCAGTGGCTGTGGAGCTGGTATACAGCTGAGGGCCTGGGGGAGCGTGGGGCACAGGCTGTGGGTCTGGTATAGAGCTGGTGGCACAGGGGCAGTGTGGGGCAGGGCTGTGGGTCTGGTATGGGGATGAGGGAGAGTGGGGCAGGGTCTGTGGGTCTGGTATAGAGCTGGGGGGATGGGCGAGTGTGGGGCAGGGGCTTTGGGTCTGGTATAGAGCTGGGGGGAATGGGGGAGTGTGGGCAAGGGGCTGCGGGTCTGGTATGGGGATGTGGGGAGTGTGGGGCAGGGGCTTTGGGACTGGTATAGAGCTGGGGCAGGGTCTCCCCCAGCTAGGCAGAAAGCCCCACTGGTTTGGGGGCTCCAGGCAATTTATGGGGTGGGTATGAGGAAGTGGGAATTTTCCATTATAGTTTGATGATGCCTGTGTGTGCCTCAGTTTCTCCTCACTTGTGCAGGGCTCCCCGGGGTGGGGCCAGACTGTTGGCTCTCCAGGCAGGTCAGTCTGAATGTAGCCTGGCTGACTGAGGGAAAGGACTGGCCAAGGCCGACCCCGGCTCAGTGGCGAATGCACGAGGACAAGGGGAAGGCCATTCTCCCAGCCATGCCCTGAGTGCCCAGTGTCCCAGAGGGAACCGGATCCCCCTGCTCTGCGCAGGGAGGCTGGGCACAGATTGGGCTCGCCAGCATAGAGCAGGGCTGGAGCCCAGGGGCTCTATCTAGGAAGCAGGCCTGCCAATGGGACGGGTGCGAGCAAAGAGGGCAATTTCCCATGGGCCCGGGAGATTTAAAAGGGTGCGTCGTGGCACCGGCGGCCACAGAGGCAGTGACAGGGTAAGGGGTTCCATGGGGGGCAGCATTCGGGGGGCCAGAGGCAGGTGAAGAGCTTCTGTGGGAGGCGGGGGCAGGAGGACAGGTGGGGTACTTTGGGGGGGGCAGCATGTGGGGGGATGAGGCAGGGGGAAGGATTCGTCTGGAGCAACATGTGGGGGGAGATGGGGAGGCTCTGTGGGGGGCAGCATGTGGAGGACAGGGGCAGGGTGAGGGGTTCCGTGGGGGGCAGCATGTGGGGGGCAGGGGGAGCGGTTCTATGGGGGGCAGGAGCAGGGGGAGGGGTTCCGTGGGGGCAGCGTGTGGGTGAAGGGATAGGGGTTCTGTAGGGGGCAGCATGCGGGGAGGGAGAGGGGTTCTGTGGGGGGCAGCATGCGGGGAGGCAGGGGGAGGGGTGGGGTTCTGTGAGGGGCAGCAAGCAGGGGGGAGGGGTTCCATGGGCGCAACATGTGGAGGGGGAAGGGATGAGGTTCCGTGGGGGGCAGAATGCGGGGGAGAGGGGTTCTGTGGGGGAGCAGGGGGAGGGGGAGGGGTTCCATGGGGGGCACCATGCAGGAGGGGCAGGTTTCCGTGGGGTGCAGCTTGCAGGGGGAGCAGGGTTTCTGTGGGGGGCAGCGTGCTGGGGGAGGGGCGGGGTTCCATGCGGGGCAGCATGCAGGGGGGCGCAGAGGCAGGGAGAGGGGTTCCATGGTGGTAGGGGGAGGGCTGGGGTTCCATGGGGGGCAGTGTGCGGGGGGCAAGAGGCAGCGGGAGGGATGGGGTTCTGTGGGGGGCAGCTTGCAGGGGTGGCAGGGGGCGGGGTTCCGTGTGGGGCAGGGGTTCCATGTGGGGAAGCATGGGGGGGGCAAGGAGCCAACCCTCTCCGTACCTTGAGCGCCAGGGTCTCGTCCATCTTGCGCTGCAGACTGCCATCGAGGGCAGACTGGGCCTGGTGGCGCGTGGCCGTGGCCTGGGCCGTGGCTGCCCTGAGCGTGGCCAGCACCTCCTTGGAGCGCAGGGTCAGGCATCGCGCCTCCTCAATGGCCACCGCGCACTCTGGGGGGACATGGGGTCAGAACTGCACCCCGGCTGGGCAGACCCCAGCCCTCCCTCTGTGACACAGTGACCCAAATGCCGTCCATGGGCCTGGGGGGGTGAACACGGGGAAGGGGTCTGGGGGTCAGGATCAAAGGGGTGAGGAGAGCTGGGGGTGCATACGGGGGTGCTGTGGGGGGTTTAGTGGAGTCCTGGAAGGACACACTGGGAGTCTAAGGCAGGGGTCCCTGGGGGAGCTCTTGGGGGGCTGAGAGGAGGGTCCCTGGGGAAGACTGAAGAGGGGCTGAGAGGGAGTCCCTGGAATGGAGTGGGGCAGGCCATACCTGGCATGTAGGACTCAGTGGGGCTGGGCTTGTGAGTGGGGGGCAATGGGGGTACTCATGGACTGAGGGGCTCTTGGGGCGGTCCCTGGGAGTGAATGGGGTGGGGGTCCCTGGGAGTACATGGGCTGAGAGGGGCTGAGTGATGGGTGGTCTCCGGAGGTACACAGGGGCTCTGGGGGGGTCCCTGGGATGGGGTGGGGCCGGGCCGTACCTGGCGTGTAGGGCCCGATGGGGCTTAGCTTATGAGTGGGGGCAAATGGGGGTACACAGGGGCTGAGGGGGGTTCTTGGAGGGCTGCTGGGGGTCCCCAGGGTGGAGCGGGCCAGGCCATACCTGGCGTGTAGGGCCCAACAGGGCTGGCCTCCGGGGTGGGGTTCCTCATTACGAAGGGGGACGAGGGCCGGCTTAAGCTGAGCCAGGAGTCACGCTCGGCCTCCAGCAGCACCATGCGCAGCGGCTGCCCCAGCAGCTCCAGCACCTGCCCCCGCTCCTGGCACAGTGCCCCCAGGGTGTGCCGGCACCCACTCAGTGCCTGGCACAGGGGACATGGGTCAGTGTGCCCCCCCACACCCTCAAACCCCCACACCTGCCCAGAGCCTGGCACGGGGAACGGGGTCAGTGTGTCCCCCTCACCCTCAAACTCCCACATCTGCTCAGTGCTTGGCACGGGGAACAGATGTCAGTGTGTCCCCCTCACTCCCCACATCCGCCGAGGGCCTGGCACAGGAAACACAGGTCAGTGTGCCCCCGCACTCGCCTGGCTCCTGCCAGAGAGTGTGCCAGTGTGAGTGCCCAGCTCAGAGACAGCTGCGGTCAGAGGGACCAATCTCTGCAGCGCCTCTCTCAGCGCAAGATTGGGGAGGGCCCAGCACAGCAAGGGGGAAGCCATGGGCGGAACCTGGGCAGGGAGGGGTGGAAGGATAGATGTGGGTCAATCCCTGGGGTGGAGCAGGCTCTGCGGGTGAGGCGCCCTGACCACAGGGCAGGCTGGCGACTGGCAGGCAAAAAGCACAGCAAGGGACAGAGCAAGGGACATAAAACAGGCCAGCAGGGGATGACCCAAGGGGGCACAGGTTGGGCTGAGCTGCTCCCTTTGGGCTGGGTTTTTGTGGGGGATGCCAGGGCAGCCTGGCAAGAGGGGCAAATGGGGAGACACCGGCAGGGAGTTGGCACATCGGGCGCCCAGGGGAGGGGCCAGCGCCCAGGCTACGATGGGAAGACGCATCAGTGGGTAGCATAGGTGGGGGAGACAGCCCCAACCTGTCACTACAGGGCCCCCAGGCTGCGGCCCAGAGAGGGGTGCACTCTTTGCCAGCCACCAGGGAGGTGACAGTACTCCTGGTGCTGACATAGTGGGCTAAGGGCAGCTGGCATCCCGCTGAGAAGGGGCCCCGGCTCCAGCACCTGGCCCAGTGCCCCAGAGGGACCAGAGTGGGATACTGGACTGTGGGTTGCCGGGCTTTTCAGTGCCCGGGACAGAGTGCTGAGTGCACCGAGGAGCCCGAGCACCTGTCAGCAGGGGGTGCGGCAGAGGAAGGAGCTGGTTGCCCAGCCCCAAGGGGGCATACTGGCAAGGATGGCAACCACCTGACACACCCGCTCACCCACTGCCAGACTGACCGGGTAGTGCCCAGCACCTGCCCTGGCATCTAGTTGCTGTCTAGGCCTGTGACCCTCCCTCCCCCGGCCCCACCTTGAGGTGCGCCTCCGACATGTCCATGTGCCCTTCCAGCTCCACCTTCAGCCTCTGCAGCTCCTTGCGTTCCCACCGCAGCAGTGTGTCCACCTGGTCTGGGGCCTGGGGGTGGGGGGACATGGGCAGAGACGGGGGCAGGGTGAATGCTTAGCTCTCAGCAACGCCAGCCGTTCCAGGCTCAGTGCTGGCTGTGCTGGGGGGATCTGGGGCGGGAGGGGTCTGGGGGTGTGTGGTGGAGATATGGGGTATGGGGTGGATAGGTGTGGGGGTATCACCTGCTCTGGGGGTGGGGCAGTGCCCATGGGTGGCCTTGCTGGGGAAGGGGGTGAGTGTAAGGGATACGGGGTATGGGGAGGATGGGGGACACCTGGGGACTCTCATCTGCTCAGTGGGGGCCTCTGCTGGGCAGGGATGTGGGGTGCATGGGTTGTCGGTGCCCGTGACAGGTTGTGATAGGGGGTGATGGGGCACAGGGGGTGGATAAAGAGCGTGGGACTATGGGGGCCTTCTCACTTGTTTGGTGGGGGATTGGTCCCGGTGCCTGGCCATGCTGGGAGGTGGTGGGGCACAAAGGGGGATACGCAACATGGGGGTATATGGGGCATGGGGCCACACAAGGGGTGGGGGGCTTTCACTGACACAGTGTGGAGCTGTTGCCTGCCCTGTGGGGATGATATGGAGCTCAGGGGGCTCTCACCTGCTCGGTGAGGGGGGCGGGTCAGTGCCCGCACTTGGCCAGGCTGGGGGAGTGGCACGGCTTGGGGGGATATGGGGTGTATCAGGGATACGGGCCATGGGGGGATGTCACCTGTAGGTGCCTGTGTCTGGGTGCACTGGGGGGGACATGGAGTGCTGGGGCTATGGGGCACGGGAGGGAAACAGGCAGGGCAAGATATGGGGTGTGAGGGGAATGGGGCCTGGTGAGATATGAGGTAGGGTGCTGTCACCTGCTCAGTGGGGGCGGGTGTCAATGCCAGCATCTGGCCATGCTGGGGGGTGATGGGCACAGGGGTGTGTGTGTGGAACATTGGGTGTGGGTGAATATGGGATCTGGGGGGCGTTCATCTGCTTGGTGGGGGACATGGGGTGTGGATAAGGAGTGAGGGGGATATGGGGCACAGGGGATATGGAGCACACAGGGATACAAGTTATTGGAGCTCCCACCTGCTCGATGGGGGGCTAGTGTCCATCCTGGGATAGGGGGGACACAGGGCATGGGGGGATAGAGAGCACATTGGAAATGGGGCATGGGGGATACAGGGCAGGGGCGCTCATCTGCTCGGCTAGGGGCCCATCCCTGCACTTGGCCATGCTGGGGGGATGTGGGGCACGGGGGATAGAGGGCACAGGGGAAATGAGGTGCGGGGTATATAGGGTGGGGGCTCTCATCTGCTTGGCTGGGGACCAGTGCCTGCACCTGGCCCTGCTGGGGGGTTATGGGACATGGGGGATACAGGGCGCCGGGAGATAGAGGGCACAGGTGGAAAATGGGGCATGGGGGATATGGGGCATGAGGGAATAGAGGGCACAGACGGGGAAATGGGGTGTGGGAGATACGAGGGGGGGTCTCACCTGCTCGGCCGGGGGCCGGTGCCCGCGCACCAGAGCACTCTGCCGGTTGGTGAGCAGCGCGGTACGCACCTTGGCCAGGGCGGCATCGAGGTGCTGGCGTGACAGGTTGAGGCACTTGGCCTGCTCGTTGAGCTCGGTGAGTGCCTGGCGCAGCCGGCTGACCACCAGGCGCACAGCACTGGCATAGTGGGCGGCCAGCCCGTTGCTCTGGCTGGCACAGTGGTCTCGGAAGCAGGGCAGGGGCAGCTGGCTCACCCAGGGTGGGGGCTTCATCTTGGTCTTCCACAGCGTGATGCCTGGCCCCTCGGGTGGCTTCTCCAGCATCTCACCAGCCGCCGTCACGTCCAGCTTAAAGCGCCAGCCCTGCAGCCGAGTGCGGCGCTCGTAGGGCGTCTCCTGGGGCTGGCCTGGGGGCTGCGGTGGGCGCCATTGCGCCACTGCCTCCCGCCAGCAGCGCCCCCGCAGCTGCTGCGCCGCCCGCACTGTGGCCTTGGCCTCATTGCGCCAGGCCTCCGGGCCCGCATGGCCCCGCAGCAGCTCATTGGGGGGTCCCATGGCCAAGCTGTGGGGAAGAGAGGGGTCAGCACCGCCTGGCTTGGGAGAGCCCCGCTGCCACAGACAGCCAGGGTCCTGAGCCCAGTCTCCCATCTCCTTCAAGGTGCCTTCCAGCCTGGGACCAGCCCTAAGGTGTGTGAATGGGTCTGACACAGGGCAGGGCATACTGGGCTGGCTGGGCCTATGGGTCAGATCTGAGGGAGAGGCAGGAGGGATAGGAGGCTAGCTACCCAGTGGGTCAGACCTCGGGGGTAGGGAGGGGCAGGGAATAGGGGGCTGGTAGAGCCCTGTGAGTCAGCTCCAGGGGGCAGGGAGTGATGGGGGGATAAGGGGCTGGCTACCTGGTGGATCAGATCTGGGGGCAGGGAGGGGTGGGGGTATAGGGGACTGGCCCATGGGTCAGACCTCAGGGGCAGGGAGGGGCCTGCTCCATGGTCAGACCTGGGGGCAGGGAGAGGTGGAGGTTATGGGGCTGGCTGGCCCATGGATCAGACCTGGGTGCAGGAAGGGGCAGGAGGCTGGGGAGTTGGCTGACTCGTGGTCAGGGCAGGGAGGGGCAGGAGGCTGGCTTCCCCATAGTGGCCCTCCCTGCCTGCGAGGAGCCTTCCTGCCTGGTATGGGATCAGGACGATACCAGCTCTCTGTGCCCCATGGGTGGATGCCCCAGTGCCAGCGACAATGCCAGATCCTGGGAGCTCCCCCCAGGCACCCGCCTCCCTCCTCGTCCGCACCGCCTCTCAGGGTCTGTGCCTCGCCATGGAGACGGTTGCCACGGCAGCGGGTACTCGCCTCACAATGCCTCCATCCCATACAGTTGTGTGTGTGTGTGTGGGGGGGATCATGTCTGACGTGGCCTGGAGGGAAAAGGGGTAGCCATGGGGGGATCAAACCCTCTGAGCCAGAGGGAAGCAGACAGATGGGATTTTGCCCCTGGCACCAGGCCCAATCCTGGAGGGGGAGCTGCGGGGCTGGGCAGAGTCTCTTCAGGGAAAGGGGTTGGAGTGACCATAGTGCAAGTAAGGATCTCACTACTGCTGCCAGCGGGGTGTTGGCACTCGCAGCAGTTATGCATACTAGGCCCAAGTGTCCTTGGCCCCCCCGCGTGGAGGCACTCGCAGTAGTTATGCTGAGGATCTGCAACAATACGTTGCAAAGTCAGACTGCCTGAAACTAAACAAGGCCAAACAGGGCAGATATGGAAGAACAATGCAGAATAAAGCAGCTTTATGTATGGTTTAACAGATGGTACAGAGAACAAGGGAACTAGCTGGTAGCTGGATTGGCTGGCTATATGGATACTTAGGGCAGCTTGCTATTGGATAAGTATGCTGAAGAAAGGATGTATAAAAGCCTGTGTAACTTCCTGCTCTGAGTGCAGGATTTGAGATTCTATTCTCCCTGTACCTTGTTTGCAGCTGCAAATAAACTTTTCTGCTTCTCCACCCCGTTGTGATTATTGGGTGACGCACACCGGGTAACGAACTCCTGCTGTTGTTCGCCTCTGGCTGGGTGCCGGCAACAGGGGGGAGAGCTCCCATGCATACCGTGCATAAGCAAGGACAGCCTGGGCCACCGTCCCCTAGTGTCCCTAGCTGGGGAGAGCGGGACCAGGGGACAGAGAGCAATTCACTCTGGGAAGGGGGCTCCCACCATCTGGCCAGCTGGGAGGCAGGAGGCCAGAGCCTGGGGCTCGGAGGACCAGGGCTGGGGGATGCCCTGCTTGCAGCCAGTGCCAGGCCCAGGCACACCGTCACCGTGACACGAGGCTATGCAGACCCTGCATAGCAGGACCAGTTGCCATGACCCAGGGGTTGGCCGTGGTGTTCGGGGCAAGTTGAGAGCCTGAAAAGGGCCTGCTGGGGCTGAGCTGAACAGCTCCTGGAGGGGACACACCCGCCCCCTTCTGCCAGCCCATCCCACGGTGCCAGTAACATCTCCACCCACATGACCCATCCTGACGGGATATGCTCTAGGGATTATTGTGGGGCATTTCTCCGGCCTGTTGCTCAGACTGGATAGGCACAGAGATCCCTTCTGGCCTGGGAATCTCTGAACCTACAACAGCCCCATGCTACCCTTCCATCTGGCCATGCAGACCCAGATCCGAGCTTTCCCCCTGGTCTGCTTGTCCCACCCCTATATATCATCCTGGTTCCCTTCCGCCCCAGGTCCCCATCGTCCCCACGGTGAGGTTATTGTGCCGCAACTTCTTCAGCAAGAGGTTCACAGTGGGAGAGGAGGGTGGGGACCCTGGGATCAACCCTCTCCCATGTGGGGGCCCTAGAGGGACGTCCCCCCGCCTATCCCTGGTTCGCCTCTCCCCTAGGGGAATGTACTGTCCAGATCCTCCTACAGATGTAGACCCAGGGGCTGGGCCCAGATGCCATCACTGAGCTCATAGAGTGTGTGCAGGGGCCATGTTCATCACCTTCCAGGAGATATCGGAGGGGAGCCAAGGGAGAAGAGGGCATCAGAGAGTGACACCCCTCCCTGACCCCAGCAGCAGTCACTGACCTCCTCCGGCCCGGGCCCTGTTGTAAGCTATTGTAAGAGAAAATAATATCCTCCCGATATGGGGTGACTTCCTCCTCAGAGTGAAAGGAACGACAGTATTCTCCAAGCTCACAAATTCCTTTAGCCAAAGAAAGTGTTTAGCTGACTAAATTTCTCACAGCCTCTCAGAGATTTTGCTTTAGAAGATGACCTTTTGAGGTTACTGGGGTACCTGAAATTTTCCCAAGGAAGATGGCAGAACTGTTAACCAATACAAATGGAGTTGTAGTTTTCATGGACTTCGATGGAAGAAGATATATATGGGTCTTCGATGGAAGAAGACCACAAAACTCTCAATGAAGTTCTAACCCTAACCAGCGAGTCCGGATGGAAGCTAAACAAGGAAAAGTGCATTTTTCACCTACCCCAGACTGAGTTTTTGGGACAGGCAATAAACAAAGATGGACTCAGTCATAGAATATTAGGGTTGGAAGAGACCTCAGGAGGCCATCCAGTCCAATCCTCTGCTCAAAGCAGGACCAACACCCACTAAATCATCCCAGCCAGGGCTTTGTCAAGTCAGGCCTTAAAAACCTGTAAGGATGGAGATTCCACCACCTCCCTAGGTAACCCATTCCAGTGCTTCACCACTTTCCTAAGCAGAACTAGGTTTGCTAATATCCAACCTAGACCTCCTCCACTGCAACTTGAGACCATTACTCCTTGTTCTGTCATCTCTCACCACTGAGAACAGTCTAGATCCATCCTCTTTGGAACCGTGTAACAGGGTCCCTGTCCCCCCTCTTCCTGGGGCCCGCTTGCTGCCGCCAATAAGGCTCAGATTGGCTTCAGAGTTGTGCAACACCCGGTCTTTATTTACCTACAGTCATTCCACCACCAGTGTCTATCTATTTACAAGCTTTACACGATTATTCAACCTCTTTTATAGGCAGAGTCAGCCTTCAGTTAGGAGGCCTCCAGTTCCCTCCCTGGCTGCCCCCCCCTACCTTCTGGCTCCCTCCCAGCCGTTACAGCCCTTGGCTTGTCAGGCCAGCATCAGGCCTTTTCCATCAGCCCCAATCTGTTTCCCCTGATTGGAGCTGACTGGGCAGGGGCTAATTAGGTGCTTTTGCATCAGCATGCTGCTACAAATCCCCCTTCAGGTAGTTGAAGGCTGCTATCAAATCCCTCCTCACTCTTCTCTTCTGCGGACTAAATAACCCCAGCTTCCTCTGCCTCTCCTCATAAGTCATGTGCCCCAGCCCCCTAATCATTTTTGTTGCCCTCCGCTGGACTCTCTCCAATTTGTCCACATCCCTTCTGTAGTGGAATGACCAAAACTGGACACAATACTCCAGGTGGTCCTCAACAGTGCTGAGTAGAGGGGAATAATCACTTCCCTCAATCTGCTGGCAATGCTCCTACTAATAGAGCACAATATGCCTTTGGCCTTCTTGGCAACAAGGGCACACTGCTGACTCATATCCAGCTTCTCATCCACTGTAATCCCCAGTTTCTGCAGAACTGCTGCTGAGCCAGTCAGTCCCCAGACTGTAGTGGTGCATGGGATTCTTCCTTCCTAAGTGCAGGACTCTGCACTTGTCCTTGTTGAACCTCATCCAATTTCTTTTGGCCCAATCCTCCAATTTGTCTAGGTCAGGGGTGACCAAGCTGTCGCTCCGGAACCACATGTGGCTCTTCAGAAGTTAATATTCGGCTTCTTGAATAGGCACCGATTCCGGAGCGAGAGCAATCTTAAAAGAAGAACTTTATTATAAAGAAAAAAGTAAAAGAATCACACCTGCAAAATCAGGATGGAAGGTAACTTTACAGGGTAATACAAGATTTAAAACACAGAGGATTCCCCTCTAGGCTCAACTTTAAAGTTACAAAAACAGGAATAAACCTCCCTCTTAGGATAGGGAAAATTCACAAGCTAAAACAAAAGATAATCTAATGCATTTCCTTGCTATTACTTACAATTTCTGTCATTTTAGGTGTATCGTTTCAAGGTATCTTTTCAAGAGATGGTTTACCTGCTTGGTCTCTCTCTCTCTCTCTCTCTCTATCCAGGGGGAACAAACAAAGAGAGTATAAGCAAAACCTCTCTCTTCCCCCCTACCCCTCCCAGATTTGAAACTATCTTCTTTCCTTATTGGTCTTTCGGTGAGGTGCCAACCAGGTTATTTAGCTTCTTAAAGCCTTACAGGTAAAAAGATTCTGTACCTCTGTCTGTACCTCTGGCTAGGAGGGATTTTATGTTACTGCATACATAAAAGTTGTTACCCTTCCCTTTATATTTATGACATGCCCAGTGCAGCAGTCTGGGACCTGACCTTGTCTGTGAAGACCAAGGCAAAAAAAGCATTGAGTACTTCAGCTTTTTCCACATCATTTGTCACTGTGTTGCCTCCCCCCATTCAGTAAGGGTCCCACACTTTCCCTGACCTTCTTCTTGTTGCTAACACACCTGTAGAAACCCTTCTTGTTACCCTTCACATCCCTTGCTAGCTGCAACTCCAGTTGTGCCTTGGCCTTCCTGATTACACCCCTGCATGCTCTAGCAATATTTTTATACTCCTCCCTAGTCATCTGTCCAAATTTCCACTTCTTGTAAGCTTCCTTATTGAGTTTAAGCTCCCCGAAGATTTCATAGAAGCATAGAATCATAGAATATCAGGGTTGGAAGGGACCCCAGAAGGTCATCTAGTCCAACCCCCCGCTCGAAGCAGGACCAATTCCCAGTTAAATCATCCCAGCCAGGGCTTTGTCAAGCCTGACCTTAAAAACCTCTAAGGAAGGAAATTCTACCACCTCCCTAGGTAACGCATTCCAGTGTTTCACCACCCTCTTAGTGAAAAAGTTTTTCCTAATATCCAATCTAAACCTCCCCCACTGCAACTTGAGACCATTACTCCTCGTTCTGTCATCTGCTACCATTGAGAACAGTCTAGAGCCATCTTTGGAACCCCCTTTCAGGTAGTTGAAAGCAGCTATCAAATCCCCCCTCATTCTTCTCTTCTGCAGGCTAAACAATCCCAGCTCCCTCAGCCTCTCCTCATAACTCATGTGTTCCAGACCCCTAATCATTTTTGTTGCCCTTCGCTGGACTCTCTCCAATTTATCCACATCCTTCTTGTAGTGTGGGGCCCAAAACTGGACACAGTACTCCAGATGAGGCCTCACCAATGTC